TTTACTTCATTGGCACAATATACAACGCTAGAATTGAATAAGGCGTGAGCGAAACAAACAAAGCACCCTTAATTAGTATCACAAGCGCCAAACACTGAGGGAATTTCATTGAAACGCCTTGATGCAACTATTCGAGCTCCACGGATGTCCGCGTTGCATATGCACGGAATGGAAGGCGTTTCTTACTATCCAGGCACGCACCGCTTCACCTGCGGCGCGCTGCGGGCTGTGCTATGTGGATTCACAATGACAGAGCGCTTTTGATGAGCCTGTTACAAATTTCAACAAGAGCAAAAAGCAGTGTTATATATCGTGGAAAATGGCTCAAAAATCACGGTTAGCGCATCGGAAAATTCTGAAATACACTCTTAACTGCACAATCTGTCTAAGAAATAGCCTGGATAGTTGCATCGTGATTAGTTGGGTTATAATAAAATTCGATTGGGGCTCAGCGCACGGCTTATGTGATACCAACTGAAGGCTCTTTGCTTGTTACTCTTGTACCTTATTTTAATTCCAGTTTTGCCTATTGTGCCGATGGAGTAAAAGCTTATTTTAGACCGTGCAACCCCTTCCCTTAGCCCCTAGCGGGCTGCGCGAACTAAAAACCTCAGAAGAGGAACAGCTCGATCGAAAATGTACCTACCCGCAGCTAGAGGAATATTTCCGGACGCAATCTTTGTTTTCTCGACGATGTGCGTTCAGCTCAAAACATGCAAGTATGAATTCGTTTTGCGCGGTTTAATATTTTTCAAAAAAGTTCGGGAAAATTCCTGTGAGCTAAGAGCACTCTCTACTTTTCAAAAATGCTCGAATATACAATTATATGAAGACTCATGTGCGGTTACCTAGTGGACCTAACAAAAAGAGAAGAAAAAAATTGGCATAACTTCCGATTTGCTTTCAGCGACGATTTACTCTTTAATAAATAGCGACTTACATTATCGCTCCTCGAACATGAAAGCGAAACTCGATTTCCGGGTCGATCCTAATGTCCGCATATAATTCCATACTTTTCGGAGTTCATGTCAAAATGGAGATACACCGTTACCTACGCCAGAGAAACGACGACATTTGAAGCTACAATTGACTCTTTTAGTCTTTTATTCGACCGGGCTGCATGCCTCCCTCCATCCACATGAATTGTGCTCACGTCATTTATCACGCTTGAAGGTGCGAGGAAATGACGGATTTAAAAAAAGAGCTTCGAAAAAAGCGAAAAGCGCACTGAACCGCTGGGCATGTCTGCAAATGGTGGAAGGAAGGAGAGAGGGGTTCAGGGACATCGAAAAGGTATCCAGATAGAAAATCAACTCTGCAGCATTGCCAATTTTAGTGCGAGACCATCTACAAGGCGCCAGGCGGATGATTTGCATTTAAGATGACTCAATACGTCTAGCTAATGCAAAACTGATAGCAACAAGATAATTAAGCATGTTACTGCATTGAAAAATAAAAGAGAAATGCACAAAAAGTTGAAAGCTGTAAGCAAAGACCGATTGTAGAAAATATTCAGTACGTCACCTGGACAATCTTAATCCGCTTATGCATGGAGAATATCATCATAATATAACGCGCCATCTTTGGGACCAGCGCCTCTTTATAAAATAGTATCGTATAGGTGCCTACTGGTAGCCTTTTTAATTATGGGTATCTAGCTAAATTTTGACAAGATATACCTATGCGAAAACGACCGTGTATTGTATAGATTTGAAACAAAACACGGATCTTGTTCCGTTTTGTGCTCCGTTTTTCTGTTAAAGTTCGCGTACAGAGAATTTTGTGTAAAAGATGAGAAAATTGAAGTCACATTAATCAGAAAACTGCGGAAAATCATAGTGCAAGTACCTCGGAAAATCTTCAAGACCTAAAGAGCATCAAACATGTTGGTCAAATGATGAAAAACCACGGAAAAATCAATGACGGTTCGTCATTATGAAAAAAAAATAATAATAATAAGACACCTGCCTAAGAAATGCCAACCAGTAATTGGACTTGCCTTGGGAAGAAAATCCAAGTTATTAAATTAACAAATTCATAAAATCATGTTAAGCACTAGTATTTTCATTGTGAATGTTTTACCGTTGTCTTTCAACGGAAAGTTTAAATCAGACGGTAGATGGAGAAAGATGAAAATAGCTCAGGGAGATAAGGAGTATTAAGGTGCGAAGATAGTCAAAGGAAATTCATGGAGCAAAGAGGGTTGATTGAGGTGGAGAGTGGGAAGAGGGCGCAAAGTAGAAATCTAAAAAAGGAGGCAATTGCGGGGAAATTGAGGAAAACGATAGTGTTTCCATCCTAACGAGCGCCGGACAGGTTGCAGAGCCCTCGGGCTGCAGGCGCGCCGGAATCTCGTTCGCACAGAAGCGGCGGCGGCCGTGGCGGGCGAGAGGCAAGGTGAGGGACGTGTTTTACAGACGTGAGCCGTAGGCTTTCCACAGTCTCGCATCAAGGAGTAAATTCACAACTGGCAATTAAACCACAACTTGCCTTCCGGCTTCAGCCCCGATCTGCAAGCGTTGAAGGTGACGAAAACGTTAAAAAAATGCTTTATTGTCGAATGGAACTCGGAGGGTGGCCAAAGAAGATCCTCAACTTGGACTGGGAAAAGAAACGCATTGGATCTAGAGTCCAGACTCTTGAAAACATTGACAAGAAAAAATACTCTTGATTCAATCGGATTTTTGCTTGAATCAAGACGAAATCCGCTTGAATTAAGGGGCTTGGTTCTTGATTTAAGCTAGATTCTGATTGAATCAACAGTACTTTTTCTTGTCGATGTTTTTAAGAGTCTGGACTCTAGATCCAAAGTGTTTTTTTCCACAATATAAATTAAATTCAATGTAAGTATCAAGACTAACTTTTGAGAGCTGTCTGAACTACATATTACAATTCAATGAGACCTCCACCTTCGATTTGAATCCGCAGCATGGCCCAGACACCGGCCCAGAGCTGAATGACTTGTAAACTGAACTTCTTTGGAGCTTCACTTCGAAAATGATGCGTGAACACACCATAACTTGGCAAATGCCGACGTCGAGACGAGAAACAGCGCAGAAAAATCTGAGATTGGCTTCATGATTTGAATTTTCCGTTCCAAATGCGACGAAGAAAATCATTAATTTACTTAAAAATTTCGCTCTATTTTATTTCAAGAACTCAGATTTTATTAAACAAAGCACTAGAAAGTAAGGGTATTCGCGGGTGATTTTTGCCTGGTTTTTGAACAAGAAATTCCGATTATTTTTAGATTTTCTCTAACATAGATTTTAGTCTAACTACTGCTTACAGAAAATATTATACAGTGAGAAACGGAATTAAAAGAAGGAGAGAAGAGTAGCTTCTAAAGTGGACGGATTGTCAACATCACCTTGCAACGCCGTTAAACTAGAACATACAAGCGATCTTTTACGGGCTGAGTCGATACCATAATTGTTCCATTAACTTCTGTCGGACTGGAAAATGAGGTCACCACCGAAGACGGAAGGGGGAGAGGCACAAAGGCAGATAAATTTTCGATACTTTATCGGGACCGAGAAGTTTTGCGGGTCGCGGAGAGAGGGGTTCCTCCACAAGCTGATGAAATAGTGTGGAAAACAGCCGTTTCTTTTAAGCTCTGCCCCGGTTCCTACTTCCTTGAAGAGCTCCCGACTCAGCCACTGCCTAATTGGGGTTGTTTGAAAAATGAGCTTGAAAGGTTCCCCGCCCCTCTCACACACAGAAAGCGGGTCTTCAGCTTTAAGAGCTCGCGTTTCCTTTGGGTAACTCGCCGAAAACCGCCTTTACAACCACACATTTCGACGATGATATTCCTCATTCCGACCGCCCATGTTCGGTGAGTGAAGATTGCAGGTCTTACGAATTAAGCCGGTTTGATTTGCTTCGTATTTGCATGAAAGCTTAACTCACGATCATGCATGGAAATTCATACAACTGCTACAGGTAACAGCCACGATGCTTGCACAATGGACGCTACTAAGGGTGACGTAACCCTTAGTAGCGTCCTTAGTAGCGATTCTCAATTACATCGAAATGGATCCAAACAATGACGTAACATAACCTCTTTCAATCCTACCGATGAAAATAAATCAACATACACGTTTTTCTGTGAGGCCTTGTCTCCACGAGCCGTTTCACGAGATCTGTCCCAGGGAAAAATCCCACTTACGATGTTGGGAAAAATATTGAGTTAATCAATATTTTTCCCAGTGCCAAGTATGGTACCCCTAGGACCCACTGAGAGAAGAAGAAGAAGTGAAAACGAATTGTGCGATATTTTATTCATTACTACATTGTTAATGTTTGTTTAGTCAAAATAATGTGTCTAATTGTCAATTGAGTGCAATTATTGTTTTAATCCCCGTTAAATACTCGACTTTAACCAATTTATCTTCCCGCGAAAACTAGTCGCAGGACTGTATGAGCCCCGTCCCGTGGAGACGGTAACTGGGAAAAATCCCAGAAGTTTCATTCCTGCGATTCGAACTTGGGACAAATCCCATGAAAACGTCCCGTGGAGACAAGGCCTGACGTGAACATCCATAGTAGCGTCTGACCGTGTGTTCAGGTCTATTGGGTGCTACAAACTCTGCTCGGGTTTTGGGCTACCCTCGTATTCAAAAGCAAGTTCTTCATCGTGCCTAGCATTCCTCGTCAATTTAATAGGTAAAACAATCGGATTTTAGTTTTGACAAAACAAAAAACTCTTTAGCATATTGACAAGAAAAAAAGTTCTGAGCGGCTCGGTTTATTTTTATGCTAATAATGGGCATTAAGTTGCCTCACTGTCAGACGATATTGAGCGCCGAACACGGCAGATGAAAACTTCAGACAGCTTTATCGCAAAACCGCGGTTTACGAACTACGCAAAATTCAAACCGTCCTGACTTCGGTTCGGTGAGACATTTTTGGACAATCTTCGTGTCAAAATTGTTGATCCATCAGCCACTCCATTTTGAATGACGGAATAAGTAATTCGATAAAAGGTCTAAAATAATTACCTGATCATTATCATGACTTAGCCAACTGTCTCCGGTCGTCTGAAACAAAAGCAAAGAATAAAAAATTAATCACCTGATTTTACGGAAATAATAAAATAATTTGAATGCCGATCAAGGAAAACGCAGGGATATATTCTGTTGATTGCTCTCGCTTTATCATAAAATTATGTTCTCATTTGGTAGAAATTGCTCGAATAATGTAGGTGCACCGGTTTTTTGTACTTGAACACTTCAGGAAGAATAACTGGACTACATTTTGCAATTTGGAACTATAAATTCTAGCCCGGTTTAAAAACAACGTATGTGCTATTAGTTTCCCTATGCACATAAGTGTTTTTCCAGAAGAGCCGGAACTTATAGTTCCAATTTGCAAAATGCAGTCCAATTAGTTCGATGGTTAGGTCGGTGGGTCTGTTGCACGCAAGAAATACAGCCAAGTAAGTATAGGTCCTTTCTCCAGGAAGACTCGCACAAAAATCAGTATGGGCACATAAAAAAGTCTATAATCCACTCCTTAGTGCGCATGCACAATCTGCGTAGTTTGTAACAACTTAACAAGTTCCTCAAATTTGTCGCGTCCGCAAGCAGCTTTTCTTAATCGCCTGCGACCAGGTTTGACCAGATAGAGGCCAATAAGTTGGATTTGGAGACCAATTTCCTTCGTCTCTGTTCGGGCAAACCTGGTTGCAGACGACTAATAAAAGCTACTTGTGGACGCGAGAAAGTAAGTAAAAAAAAATAAACAAAAACAAAAAAAAACAAACCTTATAAACTACGAGGATTATGCACTAAAGAGAGGATTTTAGATATTTTTTTTTTTGTGCCGATCCTGATTTTTGTGCAAGTTTTTCTAAGGAATGTATATTTTTTTGCTATATCTCTTGGATGCAAAAAAACCCATCGGACGTAGCTACCTGATCATTTACTTACATGTGCGTGTGGAGTGTTATAGATGATTGCAACGTCTCATCGATAACATAGGATCACGATCACTAGGAGACCAACATTTTCTGTTTAACCGTACCTACACTTCAGCACAGTACGAAGGTGAAACTACCGGACTACGTATCTCGTTTAAGGTGTTTAAAAATCTTCGCTTTCGTATCATTTTTTTGAAGGTGAACAAATAATTAATTTTGAGATTTTTACGAAGTTTTCTTCGCATATAGAGAGGAAAAAACACGAAAGTATTTAAGGAGTGACGTTGATTAGTTATTTACTTGAATAATAGTAAAGTATGACAGGAAGTCGAAAACGTCGCAAACCGAGATATGTGGTCTGGTGGTTTTACCGTCGAGTATCTTGCTAGCAACTATGAACGTAGTGGCAGCCACTAGGGCAGCGCAGTGAGTACTTGCCGCTGTAAATGCGATGAGACACAGGGCGCCTTCAATTTTGTTGAACGCAACACGGACATCCGTAAGACACGAATAGTTGTATCCAGACGCCTTCGGAAATATCCTATCGTTAGTGCGATGTTATTTAATGTGACGCTTTAAAGCAAAGTTTCCCGTGCCAGTGAACGGGACCTTTCTCAAGCAGATTGCACATTGCGTCCTGAAAACTATCCAAATCGTGCATACATTCCTTCTTAAGTTAGTCTTCAGCATTTCTAATTCTCCGGGTTAGAAGGGTCACGTGGTCAGAAGTGTGTCCGCAGTTGGAGGAAAATTTTCGGACGCCATCTCAGCGATGCGCCTTCAGTTGAAAGCTCAAAAACGCGACTTCAAACTCATTTACCTTCGGTTAATTTTCTTTAAAAAAAAAAAAATTAAAAAACCCGGGGCAAATCCTGAGCACGAAAGGCACTCTCTTCTTTTCAAAAACGCAAAAATTAAAAATTAAGAAGCAAGCGCATCGGAATATTTTCAATACATTTTTCGCAGGCAAAAAGTAAAATCAGAGATCTTATCAAATGCCTAGGCAAACAGTCAAGTATTTCTACTCAGATTAAAATCCTGATTCTTTTCCTAATTTTGGACAAAATAATTCATTGATCCTGTAGAAAAGAATTCTCTGGAACGATTCGCATCATACAATTGTATTTTGAACGTTTTTTAAGCTCCTGAACGAACACTTATCTCGAAATTTTCAAAATGTCATAGAGTAAAAAAAAATTTGATAATTCGTAAAACATTGAAATGAATGAAAAACATTTAAAGAGGAATAAGGAGAGTTCGTAGATTTGATGAGTTATTTCCCCCAAAATATTGAACACTCATAAACTTTTGCCATAAATTTACAAAATAGCGTTAACGGTCAAAATTTGACTACCTGCCTGCTTAGGCATCTGATAAAATGCCTGATTTGACTAGTTATGTCTACGACATGTCCATCGTGTTCCGTACACATCTCACTGCAAAAGCACTGAAAAAAATATCACCATCTTAACCATACTTCTAGCAGATTTTGGCGCCAGCCATTAGAATAGTTGCACCAGCTAGAAGTGTAAAGGCGCCATCCAGCGATATAGTTAATCCAACCACAGCTGAACTGAACACTCTCCCGCTCAGTTTTGTACTGGTACTCATTTAGAGTTAAAAAAATTTATTCTGGACTCTAATTATAATTTTTGGAGCTTCTCGGCTTGGTTTTCCCAATTTTTCGAAATGGTATGGACCCAGCACCATTTCTCCACCTTGTTACATACAGTATTCGGACCACTTCTTAGTGTTTTTTCTCAGTTACTCCAACCACACTAATGCTGACTGTGAGGGCAACAGCTGGAGGTATGGTTGATCCAACGACACTTTCAGCTGACTTAACCATACCTCTGGCTCGTGCGACTACTCTAATATCTGGCGCCAAAATCAGCTAGGAGTATAATTCGGATTGTGATACTTTTTTTCCACGAGCACGTCTTGTTCCTCTGGTTTCAAAACCAGTCTCGTAGCCCACTTTCGTTATTTTCCACTGAGTGAACGTCGAAATACCCTCTCCTTTGGTCCGTACGAGGAGACATTTAGGATCGGATAAGGAGGAAAAAAGGAGTCGGGAGGCACGAAGCCGAGGCGCGTGCATCGTAAAACGACAACGTTCCCCGAGCGGGAAAATCAAAGTCTACCGTGACCCCAACGTGTCTAGGAAAACGTGACGTGGATGATTAAAGCCCGATCCTTACCTGGCCGCAAATCTGCCGTATTCAGGAAAAGCGCCGTATGAGCATTCGAGAGTTGCCAAAATTCCTTCGATAAAATGTTTATTTTGAGGGAAGCCAAGGATATTTTCCCTTGAAATTTTCAAGAACTTCAGGTGAAACTGCGAGCAAAAATATTTGAAAGATTGGAAGAAAAATATGTGCAAATTTTCCCGAAAATTCGTGATTTACAAAAGGAAATTTGGCAGCGACTGGAGGCTCGTGCGGGGTTTTTCCTTAGCACGGCAAAAATCTGCCGCTCCAGGCTCAGCTCCGATTACACACTCCTGCATATATTCAGTGGCGTGGCGTGAATTGCGATGTATCGATAGTTATGCCATTTAAACCTGTGGAAAAGGATCGATAAACAGGGTGTTCGCAGCGAACACCTTAATAATCGATTCTTTACCATAGGTTTAAGTGGCATAACAATCGATACATCTCAATTCACGCCACGCCACTGCTTATATTATATGAGAAAATCTCACCGTCGGACGAGAATTGGTCCTAACTGCTTTCGATACGATCTGGAATGAAAATTCGCGGCGCCGCTTTGCCGTGATAGCAGAGAGAGCGGTAAGTGTATGCTGGAATGAACCTCGAGACACATAAAAACATGGGCTTATCATGGCTCATACAGAAATGTACTTACTACTCTCTTCGCTATCACGGCAGCGCTAGGGGCCGTTCATAAAATACGTAACGCTATTAGGACCGCGTTAAACAGAAAGGAACCAAGCCACATCAGCTATTGCCAAATTTAATTGGGCAATTTAATTTTTTAAATGAAAACGGTTGTGCGGATTTTCGAGCAAATTTCAGTGAAAATTCTCCATGGTATGGAGTAAATTCCTTAACATTTTCAAAGAAATCCGAACAAACGCTCTCTCGTAAAAAAAATAATTGCCCAGTTAAACTTGGCAATAGCTGATGTGGCTTGGTTCCTTTTTGTTAAACTCGGTCCATTAGAAAAAAGGTGGTCTGAGTCTGCGGAACGGGTGCAACAAGGCGTTCAGGGCGGCGTTCCGTTGATTTGTCGAAAATTTAAGGTAAAAATTCAACGCGAGCTGGCATAGATTATTCGAGATTCATCACAAAGAGCTTTAATTCCAGGGGTAGAAGGGTCGAGCTGAGCATTTAGTAAGTTTGTAGGGGTTGCGGACTTGTGTTAGGGAGTTCATTATGAGGGGGAAGAGGTAAAAAAATCCCATTTTCGGCGTTATTTAATTTGTGAATGGCTCTCTACTACCATACTTACGGCCAGAGACAAGAGACCCTCCACTAGTATCTTGGCCATGGTGGAAGCTTTTACTTTCGGGACTTCAGCATTCTACTGTTGACTCACCTACATGGTTGATGTTTATCAACGTGTTGGCAGTTTCGTTTCGCAAACAAGCCGAAAATGGCCGAAGTTTAGGAAACTTGTTTGGCTCATGACGTCACCCGAAACTCATCATCGACCATGTAGGTAGGTCAACAGCCGAAATTAGGGTGATGACTGTTGCTCCCTTATAATTGTCCATAAGGAACTGTTGAATCCCCGAAAGTAAAAGCTTCCACCTGTCGCCAAGAGGCCAGTGGCGGTGTTAAGTGATTCAGGAGGAACGAGATCTGCATGTGACTAAGTTCTGCTGCCTCTCAGTCTCTGTCTCTGAGGCACAATTTACTTATCATAATGTATAAATCAGTGCGGACATCTGATCTATAAGGTCTAGCATAACAATACATGAATTTTGTGAAGATTTCTACGAAATATACGTCGAAAATGAGAAAATAGATGTCGGTCATTGATGCGATGCGTAAGATAAGGGGAGAGGGGGAGAGGAAGAAAGAGGAACCGTTGCGATATTGCTCTCTCACACGCACTGAGCCAAAGGGCGACAAGCGTTTTGAGAATTTTCGA